GTCTTTTTTTTCAATAGTTTTATTCATTTCAAACGGGCTGTCCTAATCTCTAGGGAGCTCAGAGGCTGTGCAGCATGCTCTTCAGAAGCAGGCTTTTTTGCCTGAGGGGAGAGAGAGAGAGAGATATCAGTGTGAGAGAGAAACATCAATTGGTTGCCTTCCCTCTGGCCCTGACTGGGGATCTGACCTGTAACCTTTTGGTGCTACCCCAGCCTGGCTTCCTGCCCATTCCAACCCTGAGTTCTACCTCAGCACTCTGGGGAGTGAGATGAAGACAGGGAGACCCACCTTCCTCGAGATGGCCCTGTCCCGTATATTACTGCTTGTTCTTTGGTCTGTATATAGTGAAACAACACCTCTTATTTTTGTTCCAAGTTGAACTACCTCAGACAGGCAGTTCCACTGCTCACACCAGTGCGTTGTGTGCGGATGGCTGGGAAGGTGTCTGCTCTTGGGGGCATGGATGCATTGATTTGCATTCAGGGGAGGACCTCCAGTATGTAACCCCCTTGTTTCTTGGATGAAATACATCCTTGTAGTTTTGCTTTTTCACTGCTATTTTAATGCGTTGGGGGAGCTGGCAGGTATTGGAACCTCAAACCTACGGCCTCTGTCCAGTCCGGGTGAAGATTTTTGGCTTCAGGGTCTGCTTCTTGGTGCTGGCAGGTTGGCGTGCTTACTGATGCAGCTCTGGACCCGTCGCCTTGCTGTCCAGCAGGATGGGTAATGCAGCTGCCGTGTGGAAGCCACACAAATGAGACAGGCCGGCTGCCGTCGTCCTACTTTGCCCCAGCCTGACATTCTCAAAGGTTCTGGGAAATGGAAAGCATCTCCTTTTCAGAAAAAAAAGAAAGAAAAAGAAAAAAGGAGGACTGTTTGTGGAGATTGTGATGCTAGATAACATCTCCTGTAAAAGGCATAGGAGTTAATATCCTTGAGGTTTACCTCATTCCCTTTACGGTGATACCTGCTTCGTTTGTTTGTCAGTTTCCTGGCTAGAACTCTGGCTCAGTTCGGGTTTGTTGGTCTAAATTCTGAGGTTAACGCCACCCCCGGGTGATTCCTGCAGCAAGCTGTCTGTTTCTGCCTGGCCAGCTCTTTACTCGTGTTATACTTAACATGCGAAGTTACAGGTCTGGCTTATCCAGGGAGGTTTGTGCTTCTTATTTCTGGGTCACTTTACAAAACACTGATATCTGCCCCTCCACACCCCCTCCACCCCAACCAATTAAATTCCAGTGTCTGCAGGTAGGATCCAGGGTATAGGGTTCTTTATTATTATTATTACTAGAGGCCCGATGCACGGAATTCGTTCAAGAGTAGGCCTTCACAGCCACGGCTGCCTCGGCCCTTGCGGCCCCGCCCCCGCCCACTGGTCATCTTGGAAGGTCACTCGGGAAGGTCACCCTGCCGTCTGGCCTAATTAGCATGTTAGCTCTTTAATATATAGGATTATTATTATTATTATTATTATTATTATTATTAAAGCATCCAGAGTTGAGAGCCAGGCTGGAGTTTAACAATGGCCTTTATGGATGGAGAACTTGATGATCAGAAGTTAAGTGCATTGTTTGAAGGTCACCTGGTCACAATTTGTATCGTTTGGGCATCTTTTGCATATGAGAGACCGAAAAGTAAACTTTGCAGGTAGTTGGTTCTTGTAGATTTAAAGCTTCCATGGGGTTGGTTTTAAATTGGCTTTGTCCCTGGCTTAAAAATTTGGCTACAGAAATCATGCACAGATTTTGCTTCCTCTGGCTTGGTTCCATTTTTTATTTTTTAATAAATCTTTATTGTTCAGATTATGACCATTGTTCCTCTTTTTCCCCCCATCGCTCCCCTCCACCTGGTTCCCACCCCACCC